TCCCAGTCGAACTCGTGCTGCAGTGGCTGCAGATTGCCTCATAGGTTGCGCCCTAACCCGTGCGCCACCAGGGAGGCCCATGAATGTCCTCTTTAATCAGTTTCTTTCTTGCAGAACTTGGAGTCTGCTTCACAGCAGTGATTGTTTCAGTTGACAGTACCTTGGAAACAGATCCAGGAAGGAAGCGCAATCTTAGGACACCCTGCTCTGCCCTCTTGGAGTGCCCCACCCTCTGAGTTTAATTGTTTTCCTAATGTTCTCTCCCACTGTCAGACCCACTGTAGGGAATATGAAGTCAGACCCACTGTAGGGAACATGAAGGAAACTTCATAAAAGGGTTTAGAAAAAAGGGGGCAATGAAGCAGGGAGTAGCCCTCCCCCTACCAGGGTCTGGGTGTGGGAAATTCTGAAGATGCAAGAGTGTTTTGCAGAAAGCTGCAGTAAGTGCTAGGAAAGCACAGTCTCCAGGGGAGACAGGACAGTGAATGTGACCACTGTAGATGGAATAGGCTCCTGCAAAAGGTGGAGAGGTTAAGTGTGGCATTTTTCATCTCCTGGAGAGAAAAAACAGTATCAGAAGCCAAAGCAGGAGCGCATGTGTCCTTTCTATCCCTCAATGAATAAGGGATACAGGCATGGCACTGCTTCCTGAGTAAGATACCCACAATATTCTTTCTGTACTCTACTTTCTATAGTATTAAAAGGTTAATATAAAGTCATAAAGATATAAAAGATACAACATCATGTGGTCTGAATTGCAGTCTCAGAAAATTTAATAATGCTGCAATTTTTTTTTTAATTTTACCTACAACCCACATCCTCCATTTGGTTATTGCTAATGACATGCCAGGTTTATATGTGTGCATACACACACACATAAACACAGTTTATGAATATATATGAATATATATATATTCTGTAACCTTTGCAAAATATCTAGTGTGTCATATCCCTAATCTTTGCAACTGAGCAAGATAGTAATAGTATGTTTTCACTAATAAAAATATTGATATACTAATTGATAAAAAAATTGGAAATTATAATACTTAGAAAATAAAGTTGGTAATTTTATAATGAAAAACAGAATTTGGAAGGTTAAATGAATTTCCCAAGGCCACAGAAGTATAAATTTGAAGTCTCTTTGACTTTCTATTTCACCATACATACTTTAAATTGAACTTCAGCATCTCCAAAAGACATAAAAGACAAATATCTTAGGAATTAAGTATTTGTGGAGTTTTGGGGGTTCTCTATGTATATTATCATATCATCTGCAAAAAGTGATAGTTTTACTTCTTCCTTCCCTATTTGGATTCCTTGCATGTCTTTCTCTTGTCTTATTGCTCTGGCTAGGACTTCCAGTGTTATATTGAAAAGCAGTGGTGAGAGTGGATGGAGCCAGAAGGGATCATGCTCAGCGAAATAAGCCAGAAAGAAAAAGAAAAATACTGGATGGCCTCACTCATAGCAGAAATTTAGAAAACCTAAATAGGGACAAGGAAAAAGACTAATTATAAAAAAGTAAAAATCAAAATCAACAAGCAACTATAAACCAGACACACACTACAGTGGGGGCAGAAGGGAGTAGGATTAAAACAAGGGTGGTGGGAATTGTATGGGGACTATAACCAAGATGAAAATGCAAATATTGTGCAAAAATGAAAAATGATGTAAAATATATATATCTATAAAAGAATTAAGTATATGTGGGTTTATGCTAAGTATCAGCCACCTCATGAAAGGACTCACTAAGTAAAGTCATTAAGATATTATTCTAAGTGATAAAGGAGTATGGTTGGTAGGGAAAGAATTTTGAGAAATTTTCCTATATTTAATGACTGGAAGTTAGGTGCAGTTTAGTGCTAACATAACTTTCATTAATACTAATGGATCAGGGCCTCCCTGGTGGCGCAGTGGTTGAGCGCTGGGTTGCGAAGCTGCCCGCGGCCTCTGCGGCGCCGGTTCGATCCCCGGCCACCGGAGGAGGGTCCCACATGGCGCACAGACCTCTCCTGCCGCCCGCTGCTCCCCTCAGCAGTGTACTTCGGTCCTTCTGCCTGCTCTGCTCCCCGCTCTGGTTCTGGTGAATTCTCTCACCTTCCCGTGCTTCTGACTGTACCCAGTGTATGTATTAACAAAAACAAACAAATAAATAAATAAAACATGCCTCTATAAAAAAAAAACTCAAAAAAAATACTAATGGATCAATTTATGAATTTGATCTTTTTTATGATAATATACTGTTCTAAGAATCGAAGAAACACATTTTGAAATATATAGGCCTTTTACCACAAATGTAAAAGAGAGAACATGAGTAAAGACAGCAGAGAAAAGTTCTTTACTCCAGGGATGTCTTCATTATCCAGGCTTCTCAGCTGGTTTTCTAAATATTGGGAGACTAGAATGAGGTGCCCACAGATAATTAGAAATGAGAAAAATAATGTAAACTTTGAAATAACACATAATGAAATATAGCAGAAAAATGCAAAAACTGGTGGCCTAAGGGTTAAGCCTCAGTGCTATCACTGCAATGGCCTACCCCAATGGACTGAGTTCTATCCTGGATCCTGGCCAGGGAGCTAACCCACATGGCATAGCAGACATCTTCTGTCTCACCTGCTGCTCCCCTTGTTATATGGCTCAAACGAAACATAGACACCAGGGCTAACAAGAAGCAGGTTTAATAAATCAGTGCTGACTCAGCAGACTCGCATCCAAAGGCTGAGGCCCCTTTGTGGGAAATCAGGGGCTTATATGCACTTCCAGTTTCTACAAGTTTCCAGGTGGGTTTGCATTGGCAGCAGTACATGGTATGACGGGGCTACATACCAAGAGATGAGTCATATAGTTGCATAGCAAAGAGTGAGTAAAGTGTCAGTAGTCATGGGACCCCCGAGGTCCATTCTGCCTCATGATCTGACACGAAGCAAGATTCTGGTGGTACATGATTCTGGTGGTACATGATCTGACACGAAGCAAGATTCATATCAGGGACTAAGTTGCATACCAGGAACTGAGCAAAAGGTTGTTACTAAGGTCTCCAGGCTGCTTATCTCAGGTCACCATACTTCACCTTCAGCAGTGTATTTCAGTAGATCCACCTGTTCTGCTCCCCACTCTGTCTCTGGTGAATCCTCTCATTGACCTCCCCCCAATTCTGGTCTAAACCCCAATTCAGAGAAAGGAAGGAGAGAGAGGGGGGGAAGAGAGAGAGAGAGAGAGAGAGAGAGAAAACTGCAAAGTCATTTAGGAATGACTACCTGACTCCCAGACCGTGTCCAGGTGTGACCAGTAAATCATGTTTACTGTGATTAAGGGAGAAGCAGAGAAGGGCTCAGAGTTGGCCCAGGACCTCACCAGTCACGGGGAGTGGATGGCACCCTCACTAGTCAGAGAACCAGGAAACAAGTTTCTGTTTAGGAACACCTCCCTCTCTCTCCAGTAGTTCCCCAAGGTTTAGGTAAAGCAATTTTTCTTTCAAACTGCCCAACCAACTTGGATAGGACTTAAGGATACGGAAGAAGGGGAGATAAAGAAAAGGTATAAAAAGGAATAAGGATGATATTGTGATGGACTGAGAGAGGAGGATGGGAAGAGTACATGGAGAAGCAGCACATTGTAATTTTTACCAGATATGGCTTAAAATGAGGATGACATAGCTCAGGTAAATTTTTTTTCCTGAAAATTGGGGGCCAGGATGATTCTTCTATAAGACTATTTCACTGCATAGCTATATGATTTTATCTAAAACAAAGAAAGTAGTTGAACATAAAGATAGCATCAGGAGAAGGAAAAAAATAGGAAGTGCAGTTTTCTTAGAAGAAAAGGAAGGTTGGGGTAGCTCTAGTGGGAAGAAGTTTTTAGATAAAGAAACGTGACTTTTCTTTTCAATTGGGAAGGTGAAGAACAGTATTAGGGGATGAAAGAGGAAAACAGGCAAACTGAAATATAGACATGGCCAGACCTTGTTCCTTGAGGCTTATGTCAAAGTAGAATGAAAAACTAAATGCCTATGTGTATATATACATACATATTTGTTTTGTCATTCATATATGATATGGATATATAAATATGTGTATATACGCATGTATACGTTTTTATGTCTACATTCATATATACATATGGGAGTATTGGGATATGTATATATAAATGTATACATTTATTTATTTTTATTATTTTATTTTATATATTTTTACATCATTTTTCATTTTTGTACAATGCATTCATTTTCACCTCAGTTATAGTCCCTGTGAAATTCCCACCCCCCATTTACCTGTGAGTCATCACCATTGTCCCTTGTGTTCTTTCCACCCCTCTTTTGATTCTTCTCCCTTCTCCCCCTCTGCAAAGTGTCTCTGGTTTATAGTTGCCTATTGATTTTGATTTTCACTTTTTTATAATTACTTTTTTTTTTCCTGATCCCTTATTTGGATCCTCTACATTCCTCCTATAAGTGAAACTGATATTTTTCTTTCTCTTTCTGGCTTATTTCACTGAGCATGATCCCTTCCAGCTCCATCCATATTGATGCAAATGGCATGAGTTTATTTTTTTGATTGCAGAGTAATATTCCATTGTGTATTTATACAGATAACTGTATGTATGTGTGTGTATATTCATTGCTGCTTCATCCATATATGCATATGTGCTTGGGGATACAGGTGGGTGTATATGTGCTTTAATTGTGAATGTCCTTTTCTTCCCTTGTTCATAGTGTCTGATAGAGACTAATGACAAAAGGTCAAAGGCAAAAAAAAAAAATACATATGCTGGAGCATCAATCTCTTAATTTTGGAGAGATGACTAAGAACAAAGTGCTTCTTTATAAATTAGAGAGAAATGCAAAATGTAGTTAGATTACTTTAAAACCTTCTAATCTATGTGTTTGATACTAATTTTTTAGTACAAATCAGAAAGCTTCTTATTAAGTCAAAGAGAAATATAAAGAAAAAATACTGTTTAGCAACATTGTTGCTGAAATATTCTCTGGGCCTTTGCACAGGTAACCATGGGGAAGAGAGTGGCCATCATCGGGGCTGGCGTCAGCGGATTGGCCTCCATCAGGAGCTGTCTGGAAGAGGGGCTGGAGCCCATTTGCTTTGAGAGGAGCAAAGATGTTGGGGGCTTGTGGAAATTCTCAGTGAGTGGGACATCACTCCAATAGACAGAGAAGTGAGGTGGGAAGCACGTGAGAACATATTGCAGAAACCCGGCCTTCAACCTAGCTGTCAGTTATAATCTCTCTTAGGTTTGGAATCTATGAAGCACATTAAGAGCAGTCTGGAAAGTGAGCTTCCAGAGCATCCTGCCTTGCTACCTGCCTGCCAACTCTGACACCAGCCATGCCAGGCTGCACTAACAAAATTACTAATTATAGCTGTGATAAAAAATTTTGAAAAACACTATTTTAAACATAACCAAAATCTTCTTTGTACATAAAACAGTGTGATCTAATCCATCAGAACTATCCCATGATATGTTGAAAGGGATTTACCACAAAAAAAATACCATTTAACCATTTTTAAGTACACAGTTCTGTGGAATTAAGTTCATTCACATTGCTCAACAACCACCTCCAGAACATTTTTAAAATTCCCAAAGTTAAACTCAGCACTAATTAAACAATAGTTCTCAATTTGTCCCTCACCCTGACTCCAAACAGCCTTTATCAACAAATTTGATTACTCATCTCATATAAACAGAATCATACAGTATTTGCCTTGTCACTGAATCATTTCACTTAGCATAAAATACACAAAATTAGTACTTTTTACTACATATAGTAACATGTATTGTAATTCCTTTCTTTTAAGACTGAATAATATCTCATTGTTTGTATATACCAGATTTTGTTTATCCGTGCTCATGATCTGAAACAGTAAAATTTGGAAAATATCTGTTGTATTTAATGGGTCAAAGGAATACAATGATTGTAGTTACATTTTCCTATATAATATAATGAAATTAAAAAATTGTTTCTCTTAGAAGACAGGGAAGTGAGGTGGGAAGCTCGTGAGAACATAATGCAGAAACCCAGGCCCAGTACATATGTTCTTCCACATTTTAAGTTCCTTTGATAAGCATTTTTTAAGTGAATTTAAGTTGTATCTTACTGAATTTACTGGTGGGTAAAAGCCAACACAAAATGAATCATAATTATTCAGAATTGGTCCTGACCAGGATAAGTATACTCATTTGCAAACTCTCTTTCCTTTTAAACTGTACCTTAACAGGACATTGCAGAGGAAGGGAGGGCTAGCATTTACCAATCAGTCTTCACCAACTCTTCCAAGGAGATGATGTGTTTTCCAGATTTCCCATATCCTGATGACTACCCCAACTTTATGCACAACAGCAAGCTCCAGGAATATATCATTGCATTTGCCAAAGAAAAGAACCTCCTAAAATATATACAGTTCAAGGTAAGATGCTATACCAAAAATTTATTTTGGGCCTAACTGTGAGGAATTCTATACTTATTAAATTCCTGTTTGTTCCTTTTACTCTCCCTTATTTATCAACATCTTCAACAGAGTGGTCCTCTAAACTAGATCTCCAGATGGGGAAGAATACGTGAGAAATTTACAAAACATGATCACATACTGTTCTTAAACTAATGTGACGTTAGCTCAGAAATCAATAACAAAGAAATAAGTATAAAACAACTATGAATTTGAAAATTTTAAAAATCTTTTTCTAAACAATCTACAGGTCAAAGAAGAAATTGCAATGGAAATTTTAAAATATTTAGAAATGAATGATAATTTAAATTCTACATATCAATACTTGTGGTAAACATAGAGAGCAAAACTGTCATGAAAATTATAAGCTTACATCTTAGATAAATATTTGAAAACTAATAAGGTAAGAACAATTGGAAAATGATAACAGAATAAACTTAAGAATATAAAATGAAGATAATAAAAACAAATTAAGAATATTAGAAAATAAAGAATATTAAGAAAATTATAAGTTCCATTCTTTTAAGTTTAATGAAATAAACAAAAGACAATAACTGGCAGTTTGAGTGGGGAAAAAGCAAAGGTACAAATAAATAATATTAGGGATGAAAAGAAGAACAAAATAGGGCCTCCCCGGTGGCGCAGCAGTTGAGCGCTAGGTTGCGAAGCTGCCTGCAGCCTCTGCAGCACCGGTTCGATCCCCAGCTGCTCCCAGGCCACCCCCCGGCCGCTGAAGGAGGGTCCCATATGGCGTGCAGACCTCTCCTGCCACCCGCTGCTCCCCTCAGCAGTGTACTTCGGTCCTTCTGCCTGCTCTGCTCCCCGCTCTGGCTCTGGTGAATTCTCTCACCCTCCCGCGCTTCTGACTGTACCCAGTGCATGTATAAATAAATAAATAAATAAAAATAAATCTAAAAAAAAAAAAGAACAAAATAGCTTTAAAATGTAACAAGAACACCATAAACACATTTGCCAATAATTTGTAAATCAGTTAAAATTTTTAAATCATTTTTTGAACTTTCCAAAACTCACTGAAAAAAGTAACTAACCTAAATTTATTGATGACATATTTATTTTATAAACTCTTCCAGAGACTAAGAAATTAAATGTGTTTGCCATACTCACTCTGTGATACAATCTGATATCAAAAGCAGATAAAGACAACATGAATGAGGAAAATTATCAGCCCATCCCCCTCATGAAAACTGATGCAAAAATCCTATAATCTTAACAATCTTATACAGAAACTTGGTGACAGTGGTTGAGTTTGGATTATGGGTGCAGTGTATTTTGATGTTATAAAACATAAACAGGGCCTCCCCGGTGGCTCAGCGGGTTGAGTGCTGTGCTGTGAAGCTGTCCGCAGCCACTGCAGAGTGGGTTCGATTCCCAACTGGCCAGGGAGATTCCCACCTGGCAATGCAGACCTCTCCTTGTCTCTCCTGCTGCTCCCCTCAGCAGTGTCTTCGGTCCATCTGCCTGTCCTGCTCCCTGCTCTGGCTCTGGTGAATTCTCTCACCCTCCCGCACCTCTGACTGTACCCCAGTTCTTGTATAAATAAATAAATCTTTAAAAATAAATAAATAAAACATAAATTACTAATTCACTATAAAAACCTGTTACAGAAAAAAACTTTAGGTTCACCAAATTGAGAAAGGCATTAAATAAAAATTAACAATTTATGCCTGTAAGAAAGAAATGTAAAGGGGAAAAAAAAGAAGCTCTCACCAAACTATTTCTTAACCCAGGGAAGGGAAGGGAAGGGAATTTTCTTAACCCAGTAAAACATATATAAACATTATGTTAAATTTATAGTGTTCCATATGATCCTGAAAGAGAGGCCTTCCAAAATGTTCAGATTCTTCCCAAGATGTCCAAAGAGGGCTATTTTAAATGTTTCACATTATATGTGGTGCAAATCTATTGAGGCCCTGAAGGTTTCAAGAGAAACTGTTACCATTATCTCATTATCTTAAAGAAGGAAGATTACCCAGACTTAGGTCACCTACAGAAATAAGGTTGTTGTTTTTTGTTTTTGTTTTTTTTTTTGTTTTTTGGTGGGGGGATCCTATCCTACAGCAGGGCAAGCATTTAGAGCATCTGGTTTTGCCAAGTGTCATCCTCTCCTAATCATGTGAAACTTTCTACTGTCCTTGACACCCCAGACATGCATTTCACTCATTGACCCAAGATTAAAAACCCTCAATCTGACCCATTTACTCTAGAATTTAAGGTCATGTAAATTCTCCATATGTGTAATTAAATTTACTCTTTTTTCCTACTAATCTGTCTGATGTTCAGTTGTTTGCTAGGCCAGGTCTCTTGTGCCCCTAGAGTAGCCACTAGCCACAAAATTGAAATATACTGTAAGGATAAAACACAATTGGGATTTCAAAGCCTTACTATGAAAAAGAATGTAAAACACCTCATTAACCTATGAAAACAGTATAGCCGTTTCTCAAAATAGTAAAAATAGATGTACCATGTCATTCAAGAATTCCACTTGTTATTATGTACAAGAATGGCAGAGCACCACGCATACACATATATATAATATATATATTATATATATATTCCTATGTTCCCTGCAGCATTGTTTACAATAGACAAGCTAAGGAAACAACCTAAATACCCAAGAATGGATGACTATAGTATTAGACATTATTATTATATAACATTATATACATATATTATTATATATTATATAATATAATATAGATAGATTACCCCAAATTACACATTTTAATGTGCAACTCAGTGTTTAGTCCATGCATCAACATCTCACATCCTACCTCAAACCTGTAGACATCTGGGAATGTGGTCCTAGAATCTGTACTTTAACAGGTTTTCCAGGTAATCATCTATCTGCATGCTAAAATCTGAGAAATTATGTTCTGAATGTAGAGAGCAGATTACTCATTACATGGGGTCAGTGCTGCTTGTAAACTATGATTGGATTCACTATAATAGCTCCAAGAGGAATCACTCTTGTACTGCAGAAAATATTTCATGTATAAGAAACCATCTGGAGATAATATATTTATATATGCAGGGAATTTTGAATTTATAATATGTACCTTAATAATGAATTAAGTATTTTTCCTAAACTGCCATCCATTAAGCATTTTGTTCAAGTAGTTGATCAAGTTGGTACCAAATCTACCTATTAGCATAAAAAGAAAGCTATCCTTCCTTTATTTTTCTTAGACACTTGTATCCAGCATAAACAAATGTCCTGATTTCTCAGTCACCGGTCAATGGAATGTTACCACTGAAAAGGATGGTAAAAAACAATCAGCTGTTTTTGATGCTGTAATGATTTGTTCGGGACATCATGTATATCCCAACATACCAAAAGAGTCCTTTCCTGGTAAGGCCAAAATTTAGGCTGCCATCTACAAGTGGCATGATTAAGTATTTGGTAATGTCTATTTTAATATAAAAGTACAGGTTAAACTAAGATATGCTCCTGTTATGTCTAATGTACTTAGAGTGCTAAAATTCAACTACTGTGACTTTATTCACTGCCATGATCTATGACCACAACTTTTTAAATGGAAATAAACAACTCATATGTTTCCCACTTTTATGTAGGACTAAAACTTTTTAAAGGCGAATGCTTCCATAGCCGGGACTATAAGGAACCAGGAATATTTAAGGGAAAGCGAGTCCTAGTGATTGGCCTGGGGAATTCTGGCTGTGATATTGCCACGGAACTCAGCCACACGGCAGCACAGGTACCACGTCCCAGGTACTGGCGTGGGGGGGGGAGGGGCACTTTAAAAGGACAAAAACAATTACCATTTGAAAGGTGTGATATGAAACAGGGGGATGGAAAGGTACTTGGTGTAAATAACTTACTGTTTCTTATAGCGCAACTTTCCTCCATAATAGGTGAGGTTTTAAGTAGCTTGTTACGGCAAGGGCATATCATCAGCAAGGAGTGATGTGGTCATTTGGTGTCAATACATGTCTGACTAATTCCTTCTGTATTCAGGGTTAAGGTTATGACACTGACACTCCTACGTATGTCCTTCAATTATCTTTGAGTTTCTGTTTCTTCTTAATAAAAGATAAGAATATTTTTTGAGCTTGTTGAGGAATTAAAACATTTTATCATGATTTCAGCCATGTAGAGTTATATATTTGTTCAGATTGCATACAGTCATCCCATGTTATTTGTCGAGAACCTATTATGTACCAGGCATAGACTCGGATACTGGAGAGAGAATGGTAAACAAAACACATATGATACCTACCCTGAAAATCAGAGTCTAGTATCGAAAATTGATCTTAACCAAGCAAAAGCATAAGTGTAAAACTTATAATTGTGAAAAGGACTAATAAAGGCCACCAATCTGTAATAATGGTTAATAGGGGTGACCTACTTCAGAATGGCAAGTGAAAAAGTCCATTTTGAACTGACATTTAAACTGAAAGCTAAAAATTGACAAAGGAGGCCAGTTTCAGAAAAGGACTTCAGGAAGATGGTTTTAAAGCATGAAAAAGCTTAGAGAGCAAGACACTGAGAGAAAAAGCCACTTGGCTGCCACTCCATCTGGTTGGAAAAGAATGGCATGCAGAAAGTTTGGGCAGAAGGTGGAGAAGTGATACAGGTCCCGTTAGGTCATGTTGAACAAATGTCATCTACTAGCTTGAAAGATTCTTTTGGGATGAAGAGCCCAGAAGGCAACAGATAGGAATTTTATCTCCAGGTGTCATACCTACTAATGTCACACTGGGCATCCCCAGCATAAGCCCATTTCACATCCTGGTATTACAACCAGTGAAAGCAAGGAGATCACTAAGTTAATGACATAAAAATATTTTCTTATTTATCTGCTCAAAGCACTTTACTAGACAGCATAGAGACACAAAGATGTCAATTATATAGCCCTCTCCTAGAGGCGCTTAAAATCTATTTGTGAAAATAATACTGTGATATAAATACAACCTCAAAAGTTAAGTAGAAAGCATGACAATTTCAAGAACTGACACTGAAATAAAGGATCAACAAGTGATTCAGGAGAAATGTCCATGATTACAGAATTGGAGAACTCATAAAGGGGTAAAACTGAACCATTCTTTGAAGAATATACATATATCACATAGTTGAAGAGGTGGCAAAGAGTTTTTTCACAGAAGAAAAATAGCATGGACAAAAGTATGAAGACAGGAGTGAAACTACAAGTTGGACTACAGTAGATTCATTCTGCTTGATTGAAGTCTCATAATAGTGACAACTTGTGCAGTGGTACTCAAATACCTGCATATAAAAGTGCCCCTTTGATTGTGGGAAGAATGTAGTCTGAGTTTTATTGTACCCATTTTATAGAAAAGATAACTGAGGACTAGAAATGTGAATTGTCTTCTTGAACGTCATAAGGGAAATTAATGTTCAGCCATGAAAGTGTTAGAAGACTGAAACCCAGATATTGTGATTCCAAGGACAGAGTAGCTATAGAAATTGAGAGAGGAAAAAAAAAGACTGGACACATGTTATGTCATATACTTGAATAAACTGAATCACAGGCTGAAGAATCTGGATATTGTCATAAATAATGGTAAGCCATGAAAGCTTCTTGAACTAAGAAAAGGTATGATGAAACCATGGTTTTAAGAGTCATTCATTCATTATGTATATATGATAAATTAGAGGGAAGAGAGACCAATTTCAAAGAATCTCAATTTAACAAATTGATCCTCTATCTCTTGTCTAATTTCCATTATAAAAAATGCATTGAAGTGTTATCATATATGATGATTTTTGTTCTTAAATGCCTGCAAGACTGCACTGTTAGGGGTTCACATGACAGCAGGGAGAGGAAAAGTGCACATAGTCCATGCCAGGAAATGTTAGAATTTGATGTGGTGACTAGCCTATAATATCCATTTTATGAATGAGGAATCTAAAGATTAGAAAAATTAAAGGAATTTGCCCCAAGTCACATCATAGGTATGTAGCAGATCCAAGATTTCAAAATCTTTGCCTCTTTTTATCTAAAATGTCTATTTTGAGATTATAATTGCTTGTCTGTAGACAATGATCATCAGATAAGCACTAGGGGAAATAGAATTTAGCTCTACATCAGAGAATATTTGATTAAAATATGAAAATTTGCCTAAAACAATATTACAGGGTCATTGACTTTAAGACACAGATTAGAGTACAGGAAATTTATTTAGGAACATTCTTTGAATGAATATCCCTGCAAGAAGGGAAGGGAGCTTCACTTTACCTTACTCTGAAGCTGCCATGGTCTTTTTGAATTGTCTTGAGTTAGAGAGAGAGGTTGAACATCAATCTTAAATCAACCAGCCACTGGATGTAAGGAAAACAGACAAAGACCTAAGTTGAAGACTCTCTCGCTTCTACCATGAATCCCCAAGAGGGCCAACAGTTGAGAGTTGCTGTCTGACAACACTCCCAGGAGCTAATGTAATAAATCCATCCCTAAAGGGACCTGAGGATATATTATAATATACAAATTGATGGTGACTACTTTGTTGTATTGGTGTTTAAGGTGATCATTAGCTCCAGGAGTGGCTCCTGGGTGATGAGTCGGGTCTGGGATGATGGTTATCCATGGGACATGATGTTCATCACGCGATTTGAAACATTCCTCAAGAACAACTTACCAACAGCCATCTCTGACTGGTGGTACATGAAGCAAATGAATGCAAGATTCAAGCACGAGAACTACGGCTTGATGCCTTTAAATGGGTAATGCAGAGTTCAGCATGTTATGTCTGCTACCTTTTATTTCATTGTCAACAACCTTAATGTATGTTGTAACCACCAAACAAGTCAAAATAATGAGTTGAGTAATCACATCTCATATTTCAGGGAGTGAAGAATTGCAAAAATTAGGAGTGATTTCCAATTTCACAATCCTCCTCCCCAGATTTGTACAGCTGGAAAGTTATATAATACCTCAGGAATGAGTCCCTAGAGTAATAAATATTGCTATGTTTTAAGCACTTAATAATGCATGTCACAGCCTCCTTAAGACTCTGAGGTGCAACATCTCATTTTACCCTCACAACAGTTATGAAGAGGGTTCTACTGTTATCCCCACTTCAGAAATAAGAAAACTGAGGTTCCATGTAGTTCATAACATTACCAAAATCCCACAGCAGTATTCAAAACAAACGCAGACAGGCTGACTCTAGAACCCCTCACTCTAAGCTGCCTTGCTGTGCTGCCTGTCACTTGGTGGAAACATTCAGTGAAACAAAGCAAGAGAATTGTCCCTGTCTCCACACTGGAGTCACCCACCTTCACACCATCCTCCACTGAATGAAGTGTTTGTATCCTCAGTGTTCTCCTCTTCACTCACTCCTCTAATACCCTCCAAGCCAATCAGATGATAAAGTATTTTGGCAAAGAGTGCAAAACCCTAGCAATAAACCATTCACATCAAAGTGAATCCATTAAATCAACAAATATTTACTAAATACTATTTTCCAGTTTCTATGTTAAGCCCTGTAAAAAACAGCAGTGAGCTAAACCAAAAACAAAAAAATACTGTTGTCTTCATGGAGTTACATTCTAGTTGTGGGAAACAAGTTATAAATGAATAGCAGAAGATCACAGAGAAGGTGATGTGTACTAAGAATGGGACATGGGGAACACAGGTTGGACTAATTTAAACAGTCCTCAGTGGAGGTCTCACTGAGAAGGAGACTTTAATGCAAATCCCAGAAGAAGATGAGGAAATGAGCTATGAGGGTATCTGGGGAAGATTATTCCAGAGCATGGAAAAAGCAGTGAGGACATGGCCTCAAGGATATGACTGGCATGTGTAGCAAACAGCAGTGCTCTTCCTCAAGAAAAGCAGGTAGGCATGAATAACAGGAGATATAAGAATAGCCTGATGATACTGGGCTTCTAGATCTTGGGAAAGACTCTGACTTTTATTCTGAAAGCACTGGGAAGACATAGCAGGCATCTGAACAAATTAGGGACAAGATGGAAGTTTATTCAAAGAGATCACTGTGGCTGCTGTGGTTTTCATAAGTGTAGAGCAGTAGATTAAGGAAGAGATTATTGTCAAAAACCAAATAAGAGATATGGTGACTGGGATCAGAACTGTCAGGAGTTGAAGTTCTCTCGCCTTTGACTTTCTTCCTCCTATCTGGTCTTCATCCTAGTGATCACTTTGTATTATCTTGTATGAAGAATAACAGCACACATTTTTGAGCACCTTCTATGACTATGACAAATTCTTTCTACTGTTTAGATCTCAGGCATAACAGTTACTGCCTCTCCAAATGAGAAAGACAAGGCTCAACAAAATTAAGAAATTTTCATCTATCAAGGTTCACAGTTAATAAATAGCAAAGGAGAAATTCAAGTATCCAGGTGCTTTGACTTTAGGCCTAATTTTTCCTGAAATAGGCTTTAATAGGGCACTAAGCCTGGGTGTTTATTGCGGGATTTAGAGAGAGTTTTATAGAAGAAAAAAATCACAGAAAATAAAAAAGGAATCAATCACAAGGGCCAACTTCCCTTACTTCACATTGTTGCCTTATGTCTGTTTTGTTCTTCCACCATATTGGTGCCATTCCAATGGCATGGGCTAAAATTTTGCTCCTTTCTTCTTAATTTATATGTGGACCCATAAGACAAAGAGGAAATAATGTAGTTCAGTGGTTGTTTTTATTCCCTGTACAGAACCCTGAGGAAAGAGCCTGTGTTTAATGACGAGCTCCCAGCTCGCATCCTATGTGGCACTGTGTCCATCAAGCCCAACGTGAAGCAGTTCACAGCGACCTCAGCTGTGTTTGAGGATGGGACTGTGTTTGAGGCCATTGACTGCATCATTTTTGCCACAGGCTATAGTTATGCCTACCCCTTCCTTGATGACTCCATCATCAAAAGCAGAGATAATGAGGTCACCTTGTTTAAAGGCATCTTCCCTCCTCTACTGGAGAAGCCAACCATGGCAGTGATTGGCCTTGTCCAGTCCCTGGGGGCTGCCATTCCCACAACAGACTTGCAGGCCCGCTGGGCAGTGCAAGTAATAAAGGGTAAGTTGATAAATAAGCTCATTGATGAAGAATGGATCTCAATGAGAATGCCTTCTGGTCTTTGTGAAGACAGTAATCCTAATTACAAGGGACACATCTTAGATCACAGCCAGTTCTGAAAATCTACACTTCTATATTTGGCATATTGTATTTTAATATAAAATACATCATATGGGATTATCATGTGCAATAGTATAAGATATTATTTGAAAAGATTTTTTGTGATTTACCACTCCTTAGTGCTGATAGTTAGCCAAGATCTTTCATTAAACAGGAGAACACCAGAGCTTCTGGTTCTAAGTACATGACAACTTTATTAAATCATGATTTTAAAACTCAGTAGAATGACACTGCTTAAAAGATTAGTAAAAGAACATGTTTCCAAGCTGATGCCTAGCCAACTTCAAATATCCAGTCATGAAACATGATTGCTGGAAAGGCAGTGACCTTCTTTGCCCTATTTTTTTTATTGCTGTGAGTCAGATAAGGATAAGTACTAGATCATTAGAGACAGAGTACTAGGTGTGGTCTGTCTCTAAGGTATAGGAACAATGAATGCTTGTATTTAAAACAAAAAAAAAGGAAACTACAAATTTGATAGGGGCAGGCAAGGAAAGCAGGCAGCATGTGTTCTGGAATCAGATTCACACTAAGGTTTGAATGCAGCTATGGGCAGTACAGATCGTAAGACCAAACAGAACTGTGGTTAAAGAACAAATGGATCCTATATTGTGAAAAAATAAACAAGGATGTTAAAAAAAAAAAAAAAGAACAAACAGAGAAGTCAAAGTTTAGTGTGCAAAATGTAAAAGGCATAAACTTCTGGAACTTAACATATCTACTTCATCTGAGGCCACTTATAAGGACTTCTAGAACTACCTGACTTGCTGGGGGCTAAAGTTTCCTCTTATTTATTTTTTTATTTATTTATACAAGCACTGGGTACAGTCAGAAGCGAGGGAGGGTGAGAGAATTCACCAAAGCAGAACAGGCAGACTGACGAAGTACACTGCTGAGGGGAGCAGTGGGCGGCAGGAGAGGTCTGCGCGCCATGTGGGACCCTCGCCGGTGGCCTGGGATCTAACCGGCGCTGCAGAGGCTGCGGGCAGCTTCACAGTCCAGTGCTCAACCACTGCGCCACCGGGGAGGCCCTCCTCATTTTATACAAGAGATTGGAACTTACCACTACACATTTTGGCTCCATCCACATCATTATAGTCCTGCGCATCAGCAACCCCTCTCCCACCTCCTTCTATCTCACCTGCAAGCAGATATGTGCTGCATAGTGTTGCTCCAGTAAGGCAACAACTAGGCAGAAAATTCTACTCACAAAGAATGAGTTTAGGTTTCAGGCTCAGAAAGACTGAAGTTAAAGATCAGGTACTTAATCTCTGTGAGGACAAGAATTGTAACCTGACTCTGAAAAAGAAGATAAGGAGAGACCTGAGGGAACTGACATAGAGGGAAAGAGTGGGCTTAGGGGAAAAGAGAAATAAGGCAAATAACCCAATTTAGGGGAATCAGAGTGCCCAGACATAGGGACCAGTTACAACAACCCAAATGGCAGTAATTTCTAAGCTATTGGGAATAGCGTTTTATCTCACTCATTCCTCCTGAGTGATTCCAAGGTTTGGAACAAGACCATCTCTACAAAGACTATTTGAGTGACCCTGCCTGGAAGGATTGCAGAAACAGGGAATTAGGCAAATCATTACAGGTATTGAGCAATCAGATCTGGGCTGGACGCTCTAGTCTTATTCAAGATCTTCCCCAAATTGTCTTCATATGGCCCATTTAAAGTCTCTCTGAGAACAAAAGCATGCCTTTTCCAGAATAAACCTCAAATCTTGGGGCAACTCTGACTCAGATCTGGTCTCCTGGGGCTGTCCTACGTGTTTGGTGACTTGTGGGTACCACATCCACCATCTCAGAGAGAAATTTGGGGCTTTGCTAGATTCTGTATCTTACCTACTGGAAATTCCATTTTCTGAATTCTAAAAAAGCAGTATTATTTCCTATAGTTTTTTCCTTAAATGTTAAAAAGAGGTGCAATTTACCTTTGCTGTAGTTTATTAAAGACATTCTTAATAATACAACTTAGGGATTAGAATATAATACCCGAAACTAATTTCAAACATCTGGTAACTAGTTTAAGAGCAGAGAAACAAAGCTGCAAAGCAATTTGAATAGTGATTTTTAATTTTTATGACAAATACCAGTCCTGAGAAGATTGGGAATGAATTATATGTATCTCAAAATGTTATACATATTTTTCATTCTGTTCCTAAGCTCACAATTTTATTTTGCAATTCAGTGACAAAAGAATAGAAAACACTAATTTAATTTGTAACTCATTAAAAAAGAAAAATATAATGCATATCTGGAGTTGATGTTATTGCAGCGCTATTTATAATAGGTAAAACCTGGAAGCAACCCAAATGCCCAAAAACAGGTGACTGGATCAAGAAGATGTGGTAAATATACACAATGGAATACTATTCAGCAATCAAAAAGATAAATTAATGCTATTCGCGCAACATGAACGGAGCTAGAAGGAATTAAGTTCAGTAAAATAAGTCAGAAGGAAGAAGAAAATTATCTGATGGTTTCACTTACAGGAGGAATATAGGGGGGGAATAAGACATGGGGGGAATAATAACAATACAAAGCAAAACAAAACAAAACAAAAACAAACAGATGATTATAAACCAGAGAGATCCTGCAGGGGAGGAGGAGGGAGAGGGATCAGAGGCAGGGAGGAGCACAGGGGACTGTGGTGATGGTGCACAGTGAAGGAGACTCTATGGGGACTACACCTGAGGGGTTGGGGTGGGGGGGGGAAGCAAACATTGTTTAAAAATGAACAATGATGGGCCTCCCCAGTGGCGCAGTGGTTGAACCCTGGGTTGCGAAGCTGCCTGCAACCTCTGCAGCGCCAGTTCAATCCCCGGCCGCCATGTGAGGGTCCCACATGGCGCGCAGACCTCTCCAGCAGCCCGCTTCTCCCCTCAGCAGTGTACTTCATCCGTCTGCCTGTTCTGCTCCCCGCTCTGGCTCTGGTGAATTCTCTCACCCTCCCGTGCTTCTGACTGTACCCAGTGCTTGTATGTATAAATAAATAAATAAATAAATAAATAAATAAATAAATAAATAAATAAATATTTTTAAAAATCAGTTAAAAAAATGAGCAATGATGTAAAATAGATATAAATAAAAATTACAAAAAAGAAAAATGATTGGCTGATCATATTCTGACTTACTTAGCTTTTGTTGTATCTTCTCTTTTTTAGGAATTTGCACTTTGCCTTCTGTGAAAGACATGATGAATGACATTGATGAGAAAATGGGGAAAAAACTCAAATGGTAAGAGCATCTATTGTAAAGGGTGGGGGTCTAAGATTTCTGTAGAAAAGTCAGAATTTGTGCTTGGAACAACATTAGTCTCAGATGCTCCTAAGTAAGGTTGTTAGGGTAACAGCTAGGAGCTGTCATCCATCCAGTAAGTATTTTTTAAGGATATAGTTTGCACCTGACAGTATACTGCATCCTGTTATATGCAAGACACAGTGAATAGTAGGACTAAGAGCCTATATCATACAGCAATTTTAGCCTCCCATGATACCTGCAATATATCACAAAAAGGAAACTCAGAAAAGACTAAAAATAAGAAAAATTATTTTCTGGCCCATAAATTCACTTAGATGTAGGCAATGGCCTCAAATGTTGCTAATGAAAATGACTCAGCAAAATGAGGATTGCGTGGGAATAGAGCTCCAGACCCAGCTTTGCCACTAATTAGCTCAATTAACCGCCGGTTTACTAGTTCAGTGGCCATGAACTAGTTACTTCATTTGAAGAAGGCACAATTTATCCATATGTAAGTGGTGACAAAATCCTGTTCTCAGCTGTCTTGAAGTATTACAGATATCCAAATGAGAGCAATAGAAAAGTTTTTTGGGAAAAAACTACAAGTACATAGTAAGTGAACACTATCTCCCTTCCCAGTACAAGGGATTCACATTGATTCCAACTGGTTAAAAAAAAAAAAAAAAAAAAAAAAAAAAAAAAAAAAAAGGTGCAAAGCAATTTCCCTGTCTTGTTTCTATATAGTTTGGATAGCCACAGTGTATTTCCTCTCCCATCTCCAGGTTTGGCAAAAGCGAAACCATACAGATGGATTATATTGTTTATATGGATGAACTTGCCTCCTTCATTGGGGTCAAACCCAACATCCCGTGGCTGTTTCTCACAGACCCCAAGCTGGCCTTGGAAGTATTCTTTGGCCCTTGCAGCCCATACCAGTTTAGGCTGATGGGCCCAGGAAAGTGGCCAGGAGCCAGAAATGCCATCTTGACCCAGTGGGACCGAACACTGAAACCCATGAAGACGAGAGTTGTCGGGCATCTTCAGAAGCCTTGCCTAGCTTTCTGGTGGCTTAAGCGCCTAGCTATTCCTACTTTGCTCATTGCTGTTTTCCTTGTGTTGATCTAATCATCACTCCCTCTAGGATTCTGAAAGCTACTGACAATACTTGGCAAGGAATTTTGCTATTTAAAAAATAAGAATTTCACACCTCCTACTTTTCAATTCAGTAGGCATTAGTCAATAAAGCTGTACTATATCTAGGCTTTTAAATAAGCCCCTCTAAGAGTCACGCCATGATCTAAAAAAGAGCATTCATTTCTTTTTTTCGGTTCCTTTAACATTTCACAATCAGAAATAATGTTCTTTATCACTCACCTAAATCATCTCTGTAGGGGCAGGAAATGGACCACAGGGCAGGTTTTCTATGACCCAGCAGACCGGGTAAAGGAGGAGTCAGAGTCCTCAGTGGTTTTGCAGGTTTTTATTGGGATTACCAGGTACACGGCAGGCAGGGGCGCTGGGGGGCCGGTAGGCTGGCAGTCCTCCCAGCCCCCAGCAGGTCTTCACTCTGGGCTCTCCGGCCTTCTCTCGGCTTCTCTTTCGGCTTCTACTGGCGATCCCGTGACGCCGCCCTTAAAAGCACAGTCTTAGCCCAGGTGAATCCCATCTACCTATGCCCACACCCTACTCCAGGTGCCCGCCATCAGGCATGCATTCAGGACCACAAGGATCCATCATCTATCCTGATGGCGGGAGGGCAGAAAAGCCTGACATTTTTCCTTACCTACAATCTCCTAAGCCAATCATATTTACATGATTCCTTTTATCCTTTAAACAATGTTAAACATGTGCTTCAATCTAAACAAAGAATGAATTTAGCAGAATAGTTATGATATTATCAGGATACCTTTACAGACCATTTGCAGGATCAAGGGGAGAGCTGGCTATTTTATAAATATATATATATATATATATTATTCCATATTTTCTAGCCAATGAATCCCTGGCTAGAAACAGCATAGAGGTCCTCCCCGGTGGTGCAGCAGTTGAGTGCTGGGCTGCAAAGCTGCCCGCAGCCTCTGCAGTGCCCGTTCGATCCCCGGCCGCCAGCAAGGGTCCCACATGGCACACAGACCTCTCCTGCCGCGCCTGCTGCACCCCTCCACAGTGTATTTTGTCGGTCTGTCTGTTCTGTTCCCTGCTCTGGCTCTGGTGAATTCTCTCACCCTCCCGCGCTTCTAACTGTACCCAGTGCTTGTATAAATAAACAAATAAATCTTTAAAAAAAAAAAAACAGCATAGAGACCTGACCTATAATAAAAGTTAATAAGAAATTACTCGTTTTATTTACATTTCCAATAGGAAAACAAACTTTCCAACACATAGCAGTGAAACAATAATAAAAACAATAATAATTAGTACTACCCCACATATACCATTTAACTAAATGGATAAAGTCTTGCAAATAATTAAATATAGTCAAAGCTATAACCAAAATAAAAAAAATACTACCCTTACAGAATGAATTTCTGGGTATCAGAAAAATCTTAAATTTTATTTTTTAAAGTATTACTACATTTAACTGTTAGAATTTTCATAGTTAAAAGTTTTAGAGTTTTTTTCTTATAGAGCCAAAAGAATAATCAACATCATCAGTCACCAGAGGGCTCTGTAAGTGGTTACAACACTTGTTTCTTACTATACCTTCACTTCTAACTAAGGGCAGTGGAGCAACCAAATATAGATAAATATAGATAGAGAGAGAGAGAGAGAGAGAGATAAACAAACACATGCACATAAACATTTCCTTTCGTTGATCTAATCATCATTTTCTCTAGGATTATAAAAGCTACTGACAATACTTGGCAAGGAATTTTGCTATTTAAAAATAAGAATTTCACACCTCCTGCTTTTCTACTCAGCAGGCATTAGTTGATATATGACTGATATATATATACAGATATATGAGAGGGAGAGGAAGTTATATCTTTCTCTAGTGCTTTATCCTTTTCTAGTTTTTATTCTTTTTATATTTTTATCTTTAGAGCTACGATTTATCATAGATGTTGCTGTACACAATCTTAAGTCCTTCCCTTAATTCTTTCAGTTAGAGTAACATTCTGCTTTTGAGGGCTTTTCACAAAATGAAATATTCTCAAGTATTGAAGTCTCTTTGCCAACACCTTAGATCAGTTCCCCAGATTTTGATAGCCTGTTATATAGTCAACCCTCTACACTAGATGCAAAGATGAAAAAACTGAGTTAGATATGGTCCCTTTCTTAGTTACAGTCTGATAAGTAACAGGAACTGAAAAAACCCCTAACTTTGAACAAGCAAAATCACTTTTATAAAAATCCAGCCTCCATGCTCTCTATTGCCCACAACTTGCAGAAATTTCCAGCACCTATTATCATTTTAGTGTTTAATAAAAGCTTAAAGCTAATTAATCCTCAGAATAATTGTTTGATATGGATCTTAGCAACAGGACCTCTCAGAGGTCAAGACAAGCCTGAGAACTTTTTTCCCCTCTACCAGAATATTTTTTAATGAAATTATAATTTCTTTTACATGTTTACATAGGGCAAACTAAAATTTAAAGCAAAAGAATATAATGCAATATAATTAGAGGTATTTATTTCAGAAAGAGAAATTTACAATACCTTAGAGCTACATAACTACAAGTTCAAGGTTTTAAGAATTTCTTTTCATTCTATCATTGTGGATCAATGGCTGCATGTGTTTTCTCTTTTCAATATGATATTTGATGTGAGACCCTTTATGAATGACTCTGGAACAAGGGGACTCCCCAATGCTAGAGGTCAATGAACCTCAACACAATTTGATTTAATGCCCCCTTTGAATAGTGAGTATTTTTGTGCTAACATTGTCTACAATTGTGAAATAAAATTGTAGATAATACAACTTATCTACATACATTAAAAATCTATTGTAATGACTAAAGTCCCAATTGTAATGTGTAAGACCTCCTAAGTTTTTCTCCTACAAATAACAAATCCACTGGTTTTCAAATTATATGAAGTATTGAACAATTAAAGTGTGCAGGATTTCTCAGGTTCTCTAATATCTAGTACTGCCCAATCATGAAATAGCAAAACTGTCCCTGCAAATTCTAAAATGTCCAAAATGGACATAATCCATAATCTTGAAAGGACACATTTCAAAACAAAGCCACATCTTGTGATGTCTAAGCCAGTACATTTTTTCAGAATGTTGCAACTGCCTCCTAGTTTGGATTGGCTTTTGAAGGTGACATTTGACCTTTTTGTGTCAGCTGACATTTAAAAACACAGAAATCATGCAGCACATAATTCCCTGCAATACAAAATAATAGAGAGCCCAACTTATTGACACTGAGAAATGATTCTAGCTCCATATAGTCATGCCTTTGTGTCCACTTCCAGATATGACTTGGAATGGATGAGACACTCTACATTTCTTTATTTGAATAATTTATATAATAATTTATAAATTCACTACATGGGCTGCTTACTTGGTATATTTTCTTGCTGATGGAAAGGCATCTCAAACATAAAACTGCTAAATGTGACTCTTCATTTTGCCTACAAGCAACACACACATGTGACCCCCAAATGTTTTCTTTCCTTTTTCATCCTGGTAATGAGAGGTCTCAATATCCAACTTCTCAAGTCAAAATCCAGGCACAATGCTTGATCCCCTTCTTAGCCTCATGCGTTAGTCTGCTAGGGCTTGTTATAGGGCTATGACAACAAAATGCAACAGATAGAGTCACTTAAGCAACAGAAATGTATTTTCTCACAATTCTTGAGATACCTGAGATCAAGGTGTCAGCAAGGATGGTTTCCTCTGAGGCCTCTCTCCTTGGCTTGTAGATGATTTTCTTCTCCCTGTATCTTCACAGGGCCTTCCCTTTGTGTGTGCCTCTGTCTAAATTTCCTCTTCCTATGAGGTCACCAGTCATATAAGATTAGGCCCATCCTAAAACCTCAATTTAACTTCATTGTCTCTTTAAATACCCTGTCTCAAAACTCAATCACATTCTGAATTTTGGTGGTTAGAACCTCATGGAAGGAATTTGGAGGGACACAACGAATGCTTCCACTTTACCCTCTACTCTGGTCCAAGCCATTAACTTCCACCAATAACTCTAAGAGCCTTCTAAGTAGTCTCTTTGCTTCCATTTTTGCCTTCTAACATTAGGAGGCAGCAACAAAGTGTTCTTTCTCCAACACAAATAGGAACTTGTCAACCCATATTTAATCCTTGCAATGGCTTACCACTGCAAACAGAGAGAAATACAAAGTCCTGCCATGACCTACAGATCCACTTCAACCCCATTTCATAATCTTCTCCCCTTTTCCTTTATTCCCATAGGACTGGCCTCCTTTCTCAGTAACCTCATTCCAAGTTGAGAGCAGTTATATGCAGTTACATTTTCTCTCTACCTGCTTAAACTGCTTTATCTCTGAATAGCTGAAATCTTCTTATATTCAGATCTCCACTATACATAGGACAATCTCAGAAAGGAAACACCATCCCTGGTCTCCTAATTTGTCCTCTCTCATACCACCACATAACTCTGAAATCCATCATATTTTACTTCCTTCTTGGCATAATTTTTTCCTGAAATCATCCTTTTTTTTTTTTTTACTTGTTTTACCAATATGAGCATCAATCTGGCCTGTTTCAGTCTCCACTGTATTCTCAGTACCCTCAATGAGTCTGGCATATAGAGAGCACTCAATCAGTATCTATTAAACTAATTAACAAATTTTCATGTATATTAACTGTGCTAAAAACATACTTTTCAATACCTAACCTTGTATTTCAGTGTTTCTTTTAAAGTACTTAATATTCAGTAAAATATTTTCCATTATTTACCCTCATATTTTGACATATTCATTATATAAAATGATACATCCATTAACAAATGGGCAATACAATATAAATCAACTTTCATAGCTCATAAGTATTACAGTTGCCTTTTTTCAAGGTGACTAGTATCAAAATCAACCTATCCTATGCGGTGAAAAATGAACTCTCCTACATTGCTGGTGGGAGGGCAAACTGGTCCAACCACTGTGGAAAGCTGTCTGGAGGTTCCTCAGTCTACTAAAAATGGAGC